GCCTTGCATCTTCTTTACGCCTACGTGCCCCAGTTACTCATGTAACTCCTAAGAAGACCGAGTTGCTCAGAAGACCCTCGGTTAACTTGGTAAAATGAAACCTTATCCTCCAGAGACTGTACAAAGCCATTCGAACCTTGTTTGTCTGGCCTGGGGGTATCTACCACTTCTTAATAACAGTGTTTCCGTTGCGGGCCTCATTCTAGCCTAGAAGTTGCAATTTAACAAAATATTGTAAAAAATATCGTTTTCGTAAAAGCACAGTAACTGATTTAAAAAAAAGTGAATGTTTGATAAGAACAAGTAATTTGTTATTTAAATAACACATTTTAATACAATGATAAATAACATACAGAGAAAATAAAGGCAATAAGATATTTTGCAGCAAACATTGAATAGTAATGGCAATATTGCTACTGTAAATTACTGCAATTACAATTATTACCATTGTGGTGTTTGATACTTCCCCAAATGCAAGGAAGACATGATATTCGGGCAGAGTATGCATATAATATGTGTAATATCTATGCAGAAATACATGGTATTTGCACATATTAATTGCAAGCTTACCCATAAAATGCTGTTGCAGAAGCAGGAAAATCGGATATTGCATTTTAAAAGACTATTCATCCACTTCTTTTAAAAGAAGAAAAATGTTGTCTTTGGTAATTGAATAAACCAGGAAAAGCGTTATTTGGTTTTGTTTCTTAACTCGTTACCTACATATTTAAATGATGGTAAATATTTGAGTCATGTTGAAAAGAAATTCTAAATAAACCTGGCAGAAAACTGAGCCAAGCAGCAAATAATTTGGGCACTACAAGAATTGAAGTTCGTATCGGTAGAATAAGCCGAGGCTCTTTAGGGATGTTGCTGTAGTTGCTGCCGAAAGAGGCTCCAAAACTTGTGAGCAAATGCGTGCAAGCAGACAAATGCTTACCCACCCGACGATTAAGCAAATGACTTCTACTTGCGGTGATGTCATGGTCTCAAAGTCTCATCGTCGCAATCAAGTAGGAATAAATAAAATCAAGATCCATGGAATACATCATCTTTAATGCAGCATCGCATGTTGAAGTCGCTTTTATTTTGCTTAAAC